AGAAATAAGATGTATATGAAAGTTCAAACTGCTGAGAAAATTAATCCAGAAAAGAATAGATCTGTCTGGCAGAAAACGTCCAATTTTTGCTAACATAAACATGTTTCACAAAGCCAATTTGCTAAAACATTAATTTAATGAGAAAATATATCCATTCAAGTGTCCTACGTATAATGAATAAAATGTCAAGATGGTTGACTTTCCTTTTCTAACATACACAGACCATACTTCTTATCTGAGAATATTCCCCGTCCTCCAAGGAGTCCCAAAGGATGGGTTTCTCTGTTGATTTAGAGAGTCAATAATTCAGTAAAGTCCCAAGTAAATGGCAGAACACAAGCTCAGATTGGGTTTTTGTATTCGTATTTTATAAACATTTCAGGATTTTTTTCCTGACCCTTGACCTTTTGCCTTTCTTAAAGTGAACATCTTATATCCTGGAAGCTTGGTTAGAAATAACCTCAGGGTCATCTCCTCCAGCCTCTTTTTCTGTGTGGATCCTACTACTCTTAGCAACACCTATGGCAGAATAGTCTAGTAGTTAAACATACAGATTCCAAAGGTAGACTGCCTTGATTCACGTACTGGCTCTGCCCTTAATAACTTTGAGACCTTGGGCAAGTTACTTAATCTGCACCATGACTCAGTTTCTTCATCTGTAAAATGGGAATAATAATTGTACCTACCTCAGAGGGTTATTATGAAAATTAAATTATTTTATAAATATAAAGTGCTTGGAATATGCCTAGTACAAAATAAATCATCATCTTCTTCAAATAAGCTTTTATATGAATGCTTCTAGGGACAGTAGAGAGTGTACTCACTTCTCCCCTCCCTACCCCTCCATTTCTCCAAGGCAGCCCATTGATTTGTTGGCTGGAAGCTCTCTGGTTATCATGAGCTTTGGAGTCAGACAGACTTGAGTTTGAAATCTTATTCTGCCTGCAGCCTTAGGCAAGATAACCCGTGGTATCTTCAACTATAAAATGGCAGCAATAATACCTACTTCACTTAGCTGTTTTGAGGACTAGTTAAGGTGCTATGTATAAAGTACTTAGCATGGTTCCAGCTCCATGGCAGGCACTCAATAAATTATAGTTGCTGCTATGATGATGAAAAAGAAGAAAATAAAGAACAGAAGGAGGAGAAAGAAAGGTAAAAGAAAGCAACAGTAGTAGCCACACCGGCAGCTGCTGCTCTATTAGAAAGTTCTGTCTGAGCAGCTGAGTTCTGCTTCCCTGCAATTTTACCTCACCAGTCCCAGCTCTACCCACTGGAGCTGCACAGGACACATCTACTCTGTCTACTTGTCAGCCCTTCAGATATTCAAAGAGGGCTGACAGAGCCCCCTCCCTGCCCCCTATAGCAGCACCATACCACCACTCTCAGTGTTGTCTCTCCAGGGAGACATCTCCCATTCTTCAGCTGTTTCTCAGAGAACATGGTTTTTAGGCTCCTCCTTACTAGGAGTTCCCTCTTGGCATGCCCCACATCCTTCCTGAATGAGGCGCAGAGCATTGCAGGATGGTTTCACAATATGGCCACTCTCTTGCTGGGGAGAAGCATGGTGTCCTATTTACCCCTAGGTTCCCCACAGTCTCTTTGCCCACGCTAGGCAAATGAGAATGGAAACAGATTATCCTTGTTCACTTTGAAATTTCTGTCTGCAGTGACCTTCAGGGAAAAAAATTGCTTGTCATCTGGGGCACCAGAGGGAGCAGCCCCAACACAGCCTTGTTTGCTGTGAAGCAGTCCATTGGTGGCACAGCCCCACTGAAGCTATAAAAGGGGGTCTCCAGATATTGAGGCATTACCCTATCAGGGAAAAGGGAGAACTTCTACTGGGCAGTGGGTTAGAAATAAGAAGAGCAACCTGGTGCAGACCTGGGCTCCAAGACGCTTTGAGGAAGAGTTTCAGCTTTGAGGTTAAACAGACCAGGGCCCCTACCCAAGGCAGCACTCCAGCCAGTAATGGCTACCACTGACTGAGCTCTTACTGGCTTGGGCGCTGTACCAGAGGCTTCACCACCGTTATTCTGTTTAACCATCACAACAACCTATAAAGGAGAAACTGTGATTACTCCCACCTTACACATGGGAAAACTGAGGCTCTCTGGTTGTATAAGTTATTTAAGGTCATATAGGTAGTAAGCAAGAGAGCTAGGATTTGAATCTAAGTTTGCTTCACTTTTTTTTTTTTTGTGAGGAAGATTAGCCCTGAGCTAACATCTGTTGCCAATCCTCCTCTTTTTGCTGAGGAAGATAGGCCCTGAGCTAACATCCATGCCCATCTTCCTCTGCTTTATATGGGACGCCACCACAGCATGGCTTGACAAGCGGTGCATCAGTCTGTGCCTGGGATCCGAACCTGTGAACCCCGGGCCCCCGAAAGGGAGCACGTGAACTTAACCGCTTCACCACTGGGCCAGCCCCTATTTCACTTTTTTCACTATTGTGCTGTGTAGACAGACTCTTACTTTCCATGTGGCCTTAAACAAGTAGCAACCACTTTGAGCCTCAATTTTGTCATCTCCACCTACCTTGCGTGGTTGTTATAAGGGATTAAATAGAATAACATTTTTAAAGTACCTGGCATGTAAGAGGTGTTCAAGAAATTTTAGTTTCCTCGTTCTTAAGTCCCAGCTCTCCCACTTAAAGTGACTGAGAAAATCACTTAACTTTTCCTGAACACAGTTTTCTCATGTGAAAACTGGTTGTGTTTTCTAAACCTCTAACCTTGCATGTTGACAACTCAGGCAGGGTATATGCACAGCTCTGGCACTATTATGATTATGGTTTCTCCCAGAAAAAATCAAATTTCCAATTATAAAATTAATGTTATGGCTATGTAATGTACAGCATAGGGAATAATATAGTCAATAATATTGTAATAACTTTGTATGGTGACAGATGGTAACTAGACTTATCGTGGTGATCATTTCGTAATGTTTATAAATATCGAATCACTATGATATACACCTGAAACTAACAGGCTATTATATGTCAATTATACTTCAATTAAAAAAACATCATATTTACAAACCACAAATAACAAAGTAGAAGATGCTGGAAGAGCTCTGGCGTGTTAATTAAGAACAATAGCGGAAGCAGCTGGGCAGAAAATGCCAACGAGTCAGAAGCAGAGGCAGCATAGCTCTGTTTGTTGACAGAAGCCAGTGCAGTATTGTACGTTAATTGGGGAAGTGGGTAAACATTTGCCAGCAGCTTGCCCCCCAGTGCATTGGAAGACAGACTGGCAGGCTGGGCCCTCCCCACCGCCTTGCCTGCCCATCTGCCCAGAACCCAAGAGATACCAGTAGAGCGGCTTTGCTCTAGGTTCCTTATAAGCAGAGAGGATTCTGGAGGCGGATGTGTCTCCTTAATGACCCTCCTGGGCAGACCAGGTTTCCATCGGGATACAGTCGAAGATAGTGTTCCTCCTTCAGCTTGCCAGCCTGCCTGTGATACTTAGCCCTCCCCGGGCCTCGACTCCCCCTCGGCTAGGAGAAGACAGTGGAGCCATCTCATTAGGTGTGGCTTGAGATGAGCAGAGGACAAGATTGCCTGCCTCAGGTGCTGTAGTCTCTGCCCATGGGCCCAGAGCTTCCGTATCTAACAGAGTAGACTGCTCAGCCTCCCATCACACGCTCAGAGCTGCCCATTCATCTGTGTGTCCGTCCGTCCTTACAGTCACTCACATGCACAGCAGCCATCATGGAATACCTGCTCTGTGCCAGACACTGTGCTAATTATATATTTTTTCTCATTTAATCCTCACATCACTCCTGCAAGGTTGATACTAACTCCAAAGCCGTAAAGCTAATAATAGCCAACACAACTGTGATTTAAAGCAGAATCTTTCTGGTTCCAAAGTCCATTGTCCTTTCCACTAAACCAGTATTTTTCAACTTTTTAAAATTCTTGTTCCTTTTGATAAACAGGAAAATTTTGTTTCTTTCTCTCACTCTCAGATTCAGAAGTCTTCCACATCCCATCCCTGCCCCTGGCCTAGGAGGTCATAAAAGTTAAATAAATTAGGTAATTTAGGATCCCTATATGATTACCATGTCTCAGCTGAGCCAAGATTTTGTCTAGCTTTACTCTCTATGGTTTATATTATGAAATAATGATTTTTATTTCTAAAATACAAAGTCATATTACGACATTAACTCATTTTTTCAAACTAAATATCCCCACCACCACCACCACCACCAAGGAGATTGTGCTGTGTCTCGCGGGGGAGCCTCTCCCCAGCAGAGGAGATACCGTCTTTGGGCATGGTGGAGTGGGCGTTCTGCAGTGTGCTACTGGTAGGGTTAGTAGGAACATCAGCCCCAAAGGCTTTGCTCTTTTCCCACCAAGCAGAAAAAGCCCTCCCTGTAGTCAGGAGTTAACCAAGCAGAAGTCCCCAGGAATGCCTGTCATTGTTTAACCCGAACCCTTTCCTAAGAGGCCTCCTGTTCTGTTGGCCAAGCTGAGCTGTGCAGGAGGCGAGGGACCTCCATCTGCCCAAAAGAGGTCCAGTCTCCTGAACCTATGCCTTGAGATCAAATGCTAGTTCTTCCACAAAACTCTGAGACTTGACTTCTCTGAGCCCTGGTTTCCTCAGTTATAAAATGGGAATAACAACACCTACATTACAAGGTTATTTTGAGGATCAAATAAGATAATAGATGTGAAAATGCTCATGCCAGCACATAGTAGGCTCAAAATCAGTGCATACGGGCTGGCCCGGTAGCATAGCGGTTAAGTTCGCCTGCTCTGCTGCAGTGGCCGAGGGTTCGCAGGGTCAGATCCTGGGCACGTGCTCATCAAGCCATGCTGTGGCAGCATCCCACATAGAAAAGAGAGGAAGATTGGCACAGAGGTTAACTCAGAGCCAATCTTCCTCACCAAAAAAATAAATAAATAAATCAGTGTGCATGGATAGGATCTGAATGCCACGTGGAAAAAATAGTGTTTGTTCCACTCTTTTAAATATGTGTTTTCTTTCTTTTTAGGTAACCCAGCTGGACCCAAATAAATCGTTATTGGAGGTAAAGTTGTTCCCTCAAGAAACCCTTTTCCTTGAAGCGAAAGAGTAAACACAGCCCAGCAGTGGAACCAGCCCTTCCTTGACAAGCCAGAGGCGTGCGTCAAGAGAAAGGCTCCTCACCAACCCACCTACACGCTCGTCTCACTCAATTCAGTGTCACACTTCTGCCTCTTGCAAGATTGCTGGAAAAAAGTAATAATAAACATAGCTACTTAAAATTTCCCATCCACGAGTATATGTTCCCAACCCTCATTATTGAGAATTACAACTCTGCCACCCTCCCCTACCCCCTTCACCTCGCCCTTGTTCACTGACTTATGCACTGTTCAAGTGGGAGTGATCACAAAGTAGAATTGTTACCTCTCCAGTGCCCTTTTTCTCCCCACAGTGTCTAGGACAGTTCTGTCTGTCCTATGACACCAGGATGCTGTGTATTTGATATGTCTCATTGAGCCAGGGCTCATACACCTCTGCCTTTTTATCTTCATGACTGGATTTCTACTTTGTCACCTAATTTTAAGAGGCAGGGGGAAAAAAGTCAAATGGAACTTCTTGGCATGGAGATTAAACATTATTGTAGGAAAAAAAGCATATCATTTTTGTTGGTACTTTCTGACTTCTTTACTAAGATATAAGGTTGGGTTTGAGGACTGCATTTGACATATATGCAGGATATTTACTGCTGCTGCCTTGAGTCTCCAGGTTCCATCTAGGAGGTATTTGCTGTTCCATTACAGTGTGGGAAACTGTTGAAGTGCACGATGTGAATGTTGAGATAGTGTGAAGAGGACCAGTACCAGGACTTCGCTATCTGGCCCCGCTGCAGGAAGCTGCTGTTAGGTTTGCATTTGGGCGGTTAGAACCTCACAGACACCAGCTCCCAGGTTGCTGGTCCATCAGTGTACACTGAACACAATTCTCTCCTGTTTTTCTGTCCTTCTCCATCACACGTTTGGACCTTGTCACTTGGTGTTTTAAGCACCTTATCTCTCGCCAAAATCTGATCAGCTGCCTCATGGACTCTGAGCCCACCTGTAATAAGGAACTTGCTCCACTATTTCATTCTTTTAATGTTTTAATATTAAATATTAGACTCGCATCTCAAATGAAAGGGGTGTCATTCTATGGCTGAAGAGTCTGACTTCATATATTTGAGAGAGCAAACTTGTGGGCTCAGCTCAAAAGACATGTGTTGCCTGAACCTACATATAATTTCGGGATGATTTAGCAAATGTGGATTCTTGTTAATCTATGGATTTGGCATTTGGAGTTTAGTTCATGGAAGTGCTGTTTATGCCTTCACAGCCAGTGATTTCTTTTCAGCCTTGAAATGTTTCTCCATGTCTATTTTTTTGTTACCTGTGGTCTCTATCCTAGGGGTTGGGATCCTGATTTGACGTTTTGTACTTGTCCATAAGAGAGTCTGAGTGCTGGGTTTTTTCCCCCGGTCCAAGCCAAGGGGTTCTCAGAAAACTCACCAAAGCCTGAGATTTGCCTGGTCACTTTTCCCTCTGCCCGGAAGTGGGCGTGGCCAGGAAAATTCCACTTTCTGTCTTTTCTCTGGTGCTCCAACCAGGGACCTCCACGGAACACTCTCTTAAAAGAGATGTGTTCTTAACAGACTCTTGCTACGTCTGTGTAGGTGCAGGCCTTCTCTGGCCCCAGGGTTCTCTCCAGGGAGGCTGAAAGGAAGAGACCCGCAGTGGGGTAGTTCAACCTGAGCACTTCCTCTCCAGCTCCACTCCTACCTTCCTAACCCAGTGGCCCCACAAGACAGTCATTCCAATGCTACAGATGCACTAGCTCTTCTTTTTCCAGGTAGAGCTTCTTCTGGAGCTGTCGTGAAGAAGCTTCAGCCCTGAACTCAGACCGTACTCAGGAACAGCAGCAAGGGTGGGGGTGCGGATTGGAGAGATGGGATTCTGAGTTCACTTTCATGTTTAACCTGCTCCCTCTGACTTGGGTTTGACTTCATCATATTGCTCCCCCCATCACCTTCACTTCTGTATTCCGATAATATGGACTTAACTCTGAAACAATTTCACAAAAGTTATTAAATGCTACTTGAATGTGTATGAAGTTTACCCACACTTTTTCAATCCTGTCTTGGAAGGTTCTCCTTGCTCAGTCCCATGAAATCCTATTCTGTAGGTCCCATTGCTGAGAAAGGCCTCAGCTGATTATCACTGTTCATGCATGTCATTCTGGTCTATAAAGCTCTAGAACAGGAGGCCAAAGCAGTTTTATGCCTTTTCTTACAAGCACAACATTAAAATGACTTGCATCAAGTTAGGTTCCAAGAAAAACATTGTGACTTGCTGTCACCACAGAAATAGCAATGTCCTTTGTAGTTCTTCCTCCTCGTTTAAACTTCGCTGGGCTTTACATCCCAACCTCCAGACGCAGTCAGTGAGTCAGTCCGAGTATTTGCTCAGCGTTTTTACGCCCCGCTGTTTGTAGTGAAGTTCCAGGGCTCCTTGCCATCCCCACCCCCGTTCCAGTTCACTCCTTTGTGTTTCCTGGATTGTCACTTGTACGTTTGGAGCCTTCATTTGAAGGTTGAAGGAAGTGTTGCCAATTTCCCGCTGCCTCTCAGAAGGTGCAGTTTGGGGGAGGTGTCTGGTTTGCCATGTTGCCATGCTCTGGCACCACTGGTTTTATGGGACACACAGGTGTTCATCTCTGAATTGTAAGCATCTGAGTTGGATGAGAGCATCTTTTATGGAATCTTTCGTTTTTAAGGTAGAAGAACAGGATTTAGGCTTTTATAAATTTTACTTGGTGACATTAGAGACATGAAATAAGTTTGCAGTTGCATTAAAATTGCTATTCCCAAAGCTAGACATGCTGACCTGAGTGTACTGGTCAATGGGCTGGGTTTTAGAGAGGTTGCAGAGCTCTGGCAGATTTCCCCAAGAGCACGGAAGTTGTTCATTTGGATGTGGGAGGGAGTCTTAATTGTCTCCATGAGCAGCATCACTGATTGACACACTTCCACCATCCCTCTCAGTCCCTCATCCACCCCGTCTTAGATCCCACAGGTGGATGGGATGTGGAATCCTAAATTCAATCCGGGAGTAACTCACGTAGGCATTGTACTTTACGGTCTATGTGACCCTTTCTCAAGCATTATCTCATTTGATCCTTTATAAAACTCTTGGAGGGAGATCTCACACACAGCACACATTCCAGAGACTTCAGTGTCTTCAGTTTGAAGTTGGGTTCTGCCTCTCAATAGCTGCATGACCTTAAATGAATAACCTCTCTGAGCCTCAGTGTCCTGATTACATTCAGATAGCACTGTGCAGTTTACTACACCTTCCCCACACATCCTCCCAGTCCACTGCAGTGAGGGAAGCAGGGCAGAGATGATCATCCCATGTTTGCACATGGGTCTCAGAGGGCAGTGGCTTGCCTAAAAGTCACACAGAATGTCACTAAAAGTGTTAGGACTCAAGCTCTAGGCCCTGATTTTGGGGTCCACAGCTCTTCTGTAAAGAATCTCTAAATTTCATGTCCAAGAATGGATCTTGGAATCCCCTACAATTGTGTACAAAAAGTTAAATGTGTACTTTTCTGGAAGGGGAATCTGTATTTATCAGATTCTCCGTGGGCTCTATTGACCTCAAAAATTAAGAACCACCATTTACATCATGCAAACATCAGACTATTTGAGAAGTTGAATCTGTCTTTTCATCAAGCCATATTTTTATTTAAAACCCCCAAAGAGGGCCGGCCCCGTGGCTTAGCGGTTAAGTGCATGCGCTCCGCTGCTGGCGGCCCGGGTTCGGATCCCGGGCGCGCACCGTTTCTCCGGCCATGCTGGGGCCGCATCCCACATGCAGCGGCTGGAAGGATGTGCAGCTATGACAGACAACTATCTACTGGGGCTTTGTGGGGGAAAAATAAATAAATAAAATCTTTAAAAATAAATAAATAAATAAAATAAAACCCCCAAAGAGTGGGGATGCAACAACCAGGCTTTCGTGCCCTGAACCTTCCTCTGCATTTAGTGCTTCTCCCTTATCTCGAATAATTTACTTTGGAAAATGGCCTTTAACAACCCCAACTGGTCATACAGCTCCTCTCTGCTGCATTTTGAAAGTTTGGTCTGAAAGGAAACACCAATAAAAGACACTCGCTCTCCAGTCTTCAGTCTACTAACTCTTAATTTGTACACTATTAGTTGTGGTTCTCGGTTTTGAGAGGTGATATAATGTATGGATGGTTAAGAGAAGAGCCTCTGGAGCCAAATTGCCTGGGTCCAAGCCACTCATCCACTTCCTAGTAGTGCACCCTTGGGAAGTTACTTCACTTTCCTGTGCCTCAGCTTGTTAGCTATAAAATGGAGATAATAACAATACCTGGTTGCCAAGGTTGTGAAGATTAAAGGAATTAACACTTAACAGTTAGTTAACATGTAAAGCAGTTAGAATAGCTATTATCTGGTATGGGATTATAAAAAGAAAAGAGAGTAGGTGATGACAGCAATAAGAAGTGGCAGATTATGGGGGAGGATACAGAAAACTTGAAAAGCAGACACAAGAAGTCCAGGAGCACTGCTCTAGGGCTCTTCAGAGAAGTCAAAGAGCAGTGCACAGAGTGTCACTGTGTTACTGGTGTCCATGAGAATGAGCACGGGGCATGGTGGGGAAGAGGTAGGCAGGGACTAACTTGCTGAGCGCTTAGGATGAACCTGGTACAGTGCTCAGAGCATGATGTACATGAGCTCATGTAACCCCACAGCACCCCTGCCAGTGGGTGTTCTTGATCCCATTTTGAAGAAGCAGCAGGCTCAAAGAGGTGAAGTGACGTGAGCCCGAGCTCCGCAGCTAATAGCAGAGCAGAGCTTGGGACCCAGACCTGTGACTCCAGAGTCCCCGCTGTGTTTGTCACAGTGCAGTACCTTCAAGGAAAGTATGACATATTACCAAGGCATTTCAAATAATAACAGTTTTAAAATGTTGGTGGATGCAAAAAGGGATAAAGGCATATTTTTATAGAAAACTCAGCTCTCCAAAGTGACTCATTCCCCAATGTGTCGGGAGCCAGAATGTAAGCAATGCCTTGTATTTTTAAGCACATGCAATGATTTAAGAAGGATCCTGTAGCTTCTACCTCTCTGACATCTCCAGAATCCATTCCCTGCTCCTTCCTCCGTTATCACACTGACATTTCTTCCTTTCAGACCTTTATTGCCTCTCACTTGGGTTACAAAACCATATCC